ATTTTGACTTGCTGAAAGCTTAGGTGATGGTTAGGACTTTTGGGGAATAAGATATTTTTAAATTAAGGTATATAAATTTTTCAACATAATGCTATCGTACAGTTAATAAACTACAGTATAGTGTAAACATAATTTTTATATGCACTGGGAAACCAAAAATTCACTTGACTCATTTTATTGCAGTATTTCCTTTATTTTGGTGGTCTGAAACTGAACTGTCAGCATCTCCAAGGTATGCATGTACTTCTTACTAAGGACTGAGAGACAGCATTCAGAGAGAAAGCCACTCATATAAAACAGAGCATCCATGGATTGTGGGTCTTTCTCTGGTCCAGCATTCCGTTAATATGCTGGACCCCCCCATGGAGGAGCATATTTAGAATTCAGAAAAGAATGTCCATAATTTATAAACACATGAAAACAATACACATATTTGTGAGGTAATAATATTAATACGGTTCCTAAATCAAAGGATATCAAAGGGTGTACAGCAAAAAGTCTCCCTCCCATAGATGCCCCCAAACCACCCATCTCGTTTCTCCTCCTCCAATTAACAGCCTCTTGGGATACCTCAGTGGATCAGTCAGTTAAGCATCTGACTCTTGGTTTCAGCTCAGGTCATGATCTCAGGGTCGTGGAATAGAGCCCCGTGTGGGCCTTGTGCTCAGCGCAGAACCTGCTTGAGATTCTCTCCATTGGCCCTTCCCCCTGATCATGTTCTCTCTCTCTCTCTCAAAATAAATAAAAACTTTTTTTAAAAGTTGTAATTTCTACACTACTCTTTAAAAAAAAAAAGCAACAAAAACAATTAGCAGCCTCTTGTGTATCCTTCTAGAAATATTATCTCTATACCAGTATATATCCCTAAGTGTTCAGTGTTCTGTGCTTTGCTTTTTTTCACTCAACAATATATCCTGCAGATATTCCCTTTGAATGATACATCAAGAACTTCCTCATTCCTTCTTATAGCTGCATAGTACTGAATTGTGTGAATGAATTTAATACATTAAATAACCTCTTTGCTGATGTACGTTGTATCATGTTTTCTAGACTAATTTGAGATATAATCTAATTATATCTATAATGACCCTATTTTCAAATAAGGTCACTTACTGATGTACTGTGAGTCAGGATTTCAACATATCTTTTGAGGGGACATAATTCAACCCATAACATCTGCATTGTCAATAGTGAAGGGAAACTGGCATGCTAATACACTGATAATGGGACCATGAATTGTTCAACCGTGTAAAATGGCAATTTGTCAATATGTAATAAAATTTTTAAAAATATGTCTACTTTCTGAAATAGCATTCTCAGCATTCTGTCTATCCTAGGCAGATGATTACACAGGGACAAAATGTAATATAGAAAAAGGTCTTCATAGTGTTGTTTATAATATTAAAACACAGAAAATAATACTAAATAATTGGTTAAATGGACTATGATCTACATATATGAGGTCATTAAAATGAAGATATTATTTTATTGAGCTTCACAGTGAAATGCTACACTTCCCAGTGATAACAAAACTTATCATATCTTTGTCAAGAATTCTGTGGCCTTGAAGGAGTGCTTCTTAATTTTCTTTTTAAATTTAAACTACCTAAAACAAGTAATAATTAGTTTATTATAATTATATCTATGATAATTGTTTAAATATTACTATTTATAACTAACTAACAAGAAGCAACAAGTATTGGCAAGGATGTGGAGCAAAGGGAACCTTTGTGCACTTTGGTTGGTGGGATACAAATTGGTGCAACCACTACAGAAAATAGTATGGAGGTTCCTCAAAAAATTAAAAATAGAAATACCGTATGATCCAACAATGCCTCTTCTGGGTATTTATCCAAAGAAAATGAAAACACTAACTCAAAGATATATGCACTTCCATGTTAACTGTGGCATTTTTACAATAGTCAAGATGATGTAGAAACAACCTAAGTGTCGATTGATGGATGAATGGATAAAGAAAATGTGCTGTGAATGTATGTATGTATGTATGTATGTGTATTTTATACACATATATACATGTATATGCATATACATACACAGAGAGGCAGTGGCAGTAGAATATTATTCAGCCATCAAAAGAAGGAAATCTTGCCATTTGCAACAACATGGATGGAACTTGAGGGCATTATGCTAAATGAAATAAGTCAGAGGAACACCAATATTGTATGATCTCACTTATATATGGAATTTTAAAAAAAGAACAAAAAACAAACAAGCAAACAAACCAAGTTCATAGGTACACAGAACAGATTGGTGGTTGCCAGGAGGATGGGAGGGGCAGCGGGTGAAATGGGTGAAGGTGGTCAAAAGATACAAACTTCTATCATAAAATAAATAAGTCATGGGTATGCACTGTACAGCATGGTGACTATAGTTAATAATACTGTATTGTATATTTGAAAGTTGCTGAGAGTAGATCTTAAAAGTTCTCAAGAAAAAAAATTATAACTATATATGTTGACAGATGGTAACCAGAGTTACTGAGCTAATCATTTTGTTATATATAAAAATATTGAATCATTATGTTGTATACCTGAGAGTAACATAATATCAAGTATATCTCAATAAAAATATTACTAACTTGTGTGTACATTTTATTTGGATTTTATATATTTGGTAATAAGAAAATATGCTTAAAATTAAATTAAAAACAGTATCAATGGTATTTATGTAAAAAACGCAAAGGAACCTTCTTAAAGATTATACACCAAAATGTACAATAATCAGTTAATGGTGGGATTAAAGAATATTTTAATTTCCATATTTTGCTCTTCTGTGTATTCTATTTTTCCTATAATGGATGTGCATTGCCTGTGTGATAAAGACTAAACAAACAGTGGTTTAACCAAATGAAACGGGAGCTGGGGCTGCTTGGATATCTAATGATGGATCTCAAAAATTGATGCCAGGTGAGCAGTGCTAAGGAAGGACTGGGAAGTGAGGAGAGCCAACGGATGCAGCGGGGAATTCTCTCCCTCCCCCAGGGTAGACATCCTGGGTGTGGGGCGGTGTACCTTGGGCCTCTAGGGACCCTCTGTGCTGCTCTGAGCGAGCCTTGCCACCTGCAGGCACACACACGACCTCCTCTAGGATCCTGGGTCCTCTTTGCCCACAGCTCACATAGGAGGGAGAACAGGCATGTATTTCAGGTATGTGATCACAGAAGGGAGGTCCTGGCCCCAGCTGCAAAGGCAGCACAATGCAGATGCACCCAGTAGCAGAACAGAGGCTTTTGCTCAAAAACGTTAAGGGGTACCATAGGACAGAAAGAATGCAGTATGCACATATGGGTGCTGAAGGCCCTGCTCCCTCCCCGTTTGGGGAGAGCAGAACCACTGTCCAGGTGGGGAAGACTAACCCCATATACACACACCAAGTCCAGCTGAGGTACCCTTGGCCCTACCCTTTCATGGGGCCCCAGGAAGTGGGTTTTAATACCCTTACAAGGCCGGTGCCCAGTCCAGGGATCAGGGCATGCAAACCTAGCAGTAGGTCTGCAACCAGTGGGCAATACTTATACCATGATATAGATTCACTGTGAGCAAACCAAGTTGGGGAGGTTGGGCAACTGGCCCCAGACCACACTTTCAGTGCTTCCAGATGACAGGAGGCATAGCCAGAATCTGAGCTTCAGGAGCACAATAACCCACCATGAAGACATGGAATGCTCCTTGGAGCAAAGTGATGAGGTCCAGGTGGCCTGGGCACACCCACCTCTGGCACCCACCTATACACTCTCTCTAAAACTGGGCACTTGGCTCCAACAGCTAGCTCACACCACTGGAGGGGGAGAACTCTTGGACTTGGGCCAGCTATGTACATTAGTGCCTGCCCAGCTGCTCAGCCTGGTCCACCCACTACCAACTCCATGGGCCAGACCCCAGAATTCTCTCAAAGGAGAGCAGCCCACACCCCTGTGGCCCCATACTCTCTCTACCTTTCACTTCTTACTCTGAACCAGTTGCAGCTTCTCTGATAGATCATGTTTTCACACTGACACCTCAGTATTGCCTTTCCTTTTAATAGCTTTTCCCCATACCAAATTCCAAATCTCGAAATCCTGTTGCCCCTGAAATCTATTTTAAATGCTTCTTTATTTAGGAACCCTCCCCTGATCCCGGGATGGAGGGAAAACAGGGCACAGACAAGATGATATATTATAACATCACAAGAAGTGGGAAGTGTCCAGATAATGAAATAAAAGAACAAGAGTACCCTAATTCATTTATAATTGTGGATTCAGATCTTTCACCAAGACAAGTGTTGAAAGTTCCTGCCCTTAACAGCAAAAAATATCATAAGCTATGTGGGCCCCCAAGATATACTCCATTTTGCCAAATACCCTAGGGTTAGTTCAGAGTCAGGGTGCCTCCTTCCTTAGGACCCTGTAACTGGTCAGTCTCTAAATAGGACCCAAGACTACAAAACTCTAGGTTCCAATTATCAATCCAAGGATTAAGCTATTCAGAGGACCTGGCAAGGTTTGCCAGACAGACTTGTTTTTGAGATGGGTGACTCACTTAAAAAAATAATTCCATGGCTCATCCTTGGGCCTCCTGGCTCTGTACCTGGACTCTCCTGGGTTATTAATTTGTCACTTCAGCATTGGCAGAGTTGAGCAAATGTCTTCATGAAACCTTTAGGATCAGCGTTCAGTTCTCCCACCATCATGGCTTCCCTCTGCCTTCTCTTCTACCACAGTCCAGCCATAATGTCCTTGACCTTCTAACCCATTTAGACAGCAGGGCATCATAGTTAAAAGCATTGGCTTGGGAGCCAATCTGTCTGAGTTCAGATCTTGGCTCTGATATTATATAATGTAACATGGGGCAAATAACTGAACATTTCTATGTCTCAATTTCCTTATAATTGTACCTATATCACAAGACTATTTTGAGGATAACACGTTTTTATAAGCACAGGTATAAGACGGGTATATGGTTCAGGTTACAAAATGCTTATTAAATAAAATAAATAAATACCTGTACTAGACCGGATTATCTCTGTCCCAACAACATGGCCCAGCAGGTCATACTGATTCAGGCGGGAGCCATCCTGTGCTACTTCCACAGATTTGTTCTTCCCAAGAGTCCAAGAATAAACCACTTCAGCTGTTGTATAGGCATCTAAGGCAGAAAAGGACCAAGAAGAAGTTGAAAAGAAAATAATTATCCTTAATACTGAACTTATGTGAGATTGAAATACAGCTTCCCTCCCAAAAGAGTTCTGGATATGTGTTCTGTCTTCAACTGTAGTATATTTATCCATCCATCTAGTAAACACTCACTGAATAACTTCTATAGTTTATGCTGGCTACACAGGAGTGAACACAAAGTGGTCTCTTCTTTCAATGACTCACAGTCTTCTGGACTGACAATAAATTGTTAGATTTTTCCTTCTCTTGGAGGGTAGACAACAGAGACAAAGGGAGGAATAGCAAAAATATTATCTAATGCAGATGTCACAAATTCAAATGCCTATAGGAGTGGTATCTTAAATAAGTAAATCAGGCTAGTTGTAAAAAAAACTGTCAAAAATAAAACACAATTATTATGGGGTGAGCATATGAGATAAGGTAAAAATCATTGTAGAGATATTTTAAGTTAAAAACATAAAAACCTCAAATTAAAAATAGCAATAATTAATTATTACAACTTCCTTTTAAAAAGTATTTCCACTTTGATTTGCAAAACAGAAAACTGCCTCCTTTACTTCTGCACCAAGTTATTAATGTCAGGTTTTGTATTTGGAATTCCCATGTTGAGTACAGAATTTAAGTATGGATTAGTTTTAATAGGGGTGTGGGTAAGAGAAATGGTGAGAGAATAAGGAATGATGTTATTTAGGTTGTATCTTAAAGGAAGAGAGTTGCTTTCTTTCCAGACACTGATTTACTCTTTGTACAGTGGGTTTTATGTTGGGGTGAGCACCTTGCCCTAACTCAGGCACCTAGGTTCATAAAGAGAAGCTGAACAGAATACTGTTCACCCATTTCACCCAACTTTTGAGCTGTTGTTCAACTCAGTAGGAGGTCTCCAGCTCGTGGTGGCAGCTGCTGTCTCTATAATATGCTCTATTTAAGCCTTTTACCACAAAGCAAATAATTCCTAGTGAATCAACCAGTGAACAAACATAAATTTTGTGTCTTTACAAAACTTTGCAACATGGGATATACATTTCATTAAGTCTGACATTAACATTTGCATGTACTAATTGTGGTCTGCTTATATTATACTTCTTAGGACTTTCTCAATATACCCAAATAAACTATTTTTGGATTTTCTTGTAATGGACAACAGCCAAAAATTTCTTCATTTACATCAAAATTCTTGTTGAAATCATGAAAAAATATATATAACTACAGTATTTTTTATAGCTGTGCTCTCATAAGCTATAAGAAAATGCCACAAGAAATCCAGCTTTCCATATAATATGCCCTATATATGGCCTCAGTCATTTATTCAACACAGATAAAAATACTTGTAGTTTGGAGCACCTGGGTGGCTCAGTTGGTGAAGCATTTGCCTTTGGTTCAGGTCATGATCCCAGGGTCCTGGGATCGAGCCCTGCACCGGGCTCCCTGCTCCACAAGGAGCCTGCTTCTCCCTCTCCTGCTCCCCCTGCTTGTGCTCTCTCTCTCTCTTTCTGTCAAATAAGTAAATAAAATCTTAAAAAATACTTGTAGTTCAGCATATAATTTATTCCGCAATAAACAATTTTTATAAATTTGGCATCTATAAAATATTTTGGTGCCTGGAAAGGTTTGTTGCTTAATATATAATTTCATTTCCCAGCAGCAACACTTAGTGTATTCATTTAAACACAAAATCTGTTGAACTTTCAATCTGTGTTTTAACACTAATTAAGACTTTTATTGTACATCTTTTTTATATATCAATTATAGTTCTTTATAACAAATCACATAATGTTAATACCTGAAGTTTTATTTCTTCAACAAAGGTATACTTTGTATGCATAATAAAGATGTAGAAATAGTCTTAATTTCTATAAGGAAATGTAAACTCCCCTGGTTTTGAAACCAGTCCTTTCAGTTTTTTTTATTTTTGTTAAGTTTTGATAACAAGAACAATGTCACTTTCCTCTTAATTCTACTAGGAGCTCTTAATTCTATATGTAAAACAAAGGTGCAAGTGAGTTGATTAATGGCAACTGACATTGGACCCTTTTTCAGGGAGAGGGTAGAAAGTAATGGAAATTTGGGGGAATGGTCAAGCATTTACAAGGACAATCACTACTCAGCTGATTGTGGCCATGTGAGAATTTGAGACCAATGTTCTCATATCTTCTGATTTCATAAAATAATAAACAAATCTGGAGTTTTATGTGACATCTCCCAAATTTCAAATCTTTGCAAATAATTTTAAAAGTTATAAACACTGTATGGATCAAACAAATCACATTTGCAAACCACCAATTTGCAACTTCTGGTCTAGAGATCTTCTCCTATAGATGGCTATGCTTTTTGTGATTCAACCTTGGAAATAAAGGATCCTCTGCTTCCTATGGGGTATCTAGGCCTCCCAACCAGAATTGTAGATTTTTTTTTAATTTAGATTCAATTAGCCAACATAGAGTACATCAGTAGTTTAAGATGTAGTGTTCAATAATTCATCAGTTGCATATAACACCCAGTGCTCAGCACCACACGTGCCCTCCTTAATGCCCATCACCTGGTTACCCCGTCCCTCCATCCCCCTCCCTTCTGTAACCCTCAGTTTGTTTCCTGGAGTCCAGAGTCTCTCATGGTTTGTCTCCCTCTCTGATTTCTTCCTCTTCAGTTTCCCCTCCCTTCCCCTGTGGTCCTCTGCACTATTTCTTATGTTCCACATATGAGTGAAACCATATGATAATTGTCTTTCTCTGATTGATTTATTTCACTCAGCAGTGTCCCACATGTTTCTTACTCTTTTCTGTATTTTTGCCTCTCTGTGCTTTAGTTTCGTTATTTTGTTTCCCTATTTTTTAAGTTCTCTAATCCCATATTCTACTTGTTAAATCTATCCATTGGAGGGAGTCCAAGATGGCAGAGGAGTAGGAGACCTTAGTTTCATCTGGTCCCAGGAATTCAGCTAGATAGCTATCAAATCATTCTGAACACCTGTGAACTCAACCAGAGATCTGAGAAAAGAATAGCTGCAACTCTACAAATAGAAAAGCGACCACTTTCTGCAAGGTAGGAGGTGCAGAGAAGTGAATCCAAGGTGATATATGGGAAGATATATCTCCCTCCCCTGGGGGAGGGAGCCTCCATCAGCCAGCTACCGGGAAGTGCTTTAGCAGTGGAGCACAAAATCAGAACTTTTAGAAGTCTGCTCCAGTGAGAGACATCACTCAGGTGACTAAGCGGGGGTGGAACCCTAGGTGGGACAGTGTGGTCTCAGGATCCTTGGGGTCACAGGAAGACTGGGGGTGCCTGGATGCACCAGAGTTCCCAGGCATTGGAGCTGGGAAGCCAGCTCCAGGGCTGGAAATTGGGAGGCCACCATTTTAATTCTCATCTTCTAAAGCAGCGAGGAAAGCCTTCAGGAAACAAAAGCCATATAGAGCAAACCAGAGGAGAATACTTAGCCTGGCCCCCTGGCAAGGGTGGTGCAATTCCACTCAGGGCAAATACACCTGAGAATCAAAGCAACAGGCCCCTCCCACAGAAGATCAGCAAGAACATCCAGCCAAGACCCAAGTTTACCAATCAATGAGAACTGCAAAACTCCAGAGCTAGGGGAACACAGCATGTAGAATTCATGGCTTTTTCCCCATGATTCTTTAGCCTTTCATCTTTAAATTTTTCTTAATTATTTTTCTTTTCTTTTGCAACCAATTTCTCATTTTATCAACTTTTTTTAATCTTTTTTAATTTTCATTTTTACAGTTATATTCTATTCCTTCATTGTATTTAATTTTATATAGATAGATAGATATAGATAGATAGATATATTCTTTCTTTACAATTTTGGGATGCGGTTTCTTCTAACAGACCAAAATACGGCCAAAATCTAGTGTATGGCTCTGTTCTATTCACTTGTCTGATCATATTCTCTTTTTCCTTCTTTTTTTTTTTTTGTTCTTTTTTTGTTGTTTTGTTAAAGTCTTTTTTAATGCTCATCTTTACAGTTATATTCTATCCTTTCATTGTATTTAATTTTATTTTTATACATATATAGATTTTTCTTCCTTTACAATTTTGAGATCTAGTTTTCTTTTTTTGGGGGGGGAGGATCTAGTTTTCTAACAAACAGACCAAAATACACACAGGATCCAGTGTATTGCTCTGTTCTGTTCACCTGTCTGCTTATATTGTTGTTTTTTCCTTCAAAAAAATTTTTTTTTGGTTACCCATATCTTCTGATTTGTTTAGTGTATATTTTTCTGGGGTCATTGTTGCCATTTTAGTATTTTATTCTCTCTCGTTCATCTATTCTTCTCTGGACAGAAGACAAGAAGGAAAAACTCACCACAAAAAAAGAGAACAATAGGCAGTACTGACTGCCAGGGACCTAATCAGTATGGAAATAAGTAAGATGTTGGAAACAGAGTTCAGAATAATGATTATAAAGATACTAGATAGACCTGAAAAAAGCAGAGAAGACACTAGAGAATCCCTTTCTGGAGAAATAAAAGAACTAAAATCTAACCAAGTCAAAATCAAACAGACCACTAATGAGATGCAGTTAAAAATGGAGTCTCTAACTCCTAGGATAAATGAGGCAGAAGAGAGAATTGGTGATAGAGAAGACAAATGATGGAGAATAAGAAGCTGAGAAAAAGAGAGATAAACAACTACTGGATCATGAGGGGAGAATTCGAGAGATAAGTGACACCATAAAGTGAAACAATATTAGAATACTTGGTATCCCAGAAGAAGAGGAAAGGGGGTGCGGCAGAAGGTATATTGGAGCAAATTATAGTGGAGAACTTCCCTAATCTAGGGAAGAAAACAGGCATCCAAGTCCAGCAGGCAGAGAGAACACCCCTCAAAAATCAATAAAAATAGATCAACACCCCAACAAATAATAGTGAAACTTGCAAATCTCAGAGACAAAGAGAAAATCCTGAAAGCAGCTTGGGACAAGAGGTCTGTAACCTACAAGGGTAGAAACATTAGATT